CGTGTGGGGCTGGGCGGGCAGTGCCCGTCCGGGGGCGGCGGCTGGGCGGGTTCGCCCCGCATGGGCCTGAGCGCTTCTGTCTCCTGCTCACCCCCGCCCGGCTTTGGAAGGATCCAGGCTCTGGTCCCTGCTTCCCCGCAGGCCTCCTCCCTCCCCCCCTTGCTGTGTTGGTGACAGGGTCTCCTGGGAACGGGGGGCCTGGAGAACGTTTCCCACTCCGGCACACGCAGCCTCTGGATGGGGGCCCAGACTGCTGTCAGCAGCCCACTCGCCATTCAGTGTGGGGAGGGTCAGAGAGACCCTGTCAATCTCTTACCGAAATTGGCAGCAAAAGCAAACAGCTGGGGACGTTGGAAGGTGTATGTGATGCTGAATGGGGTTGCACAGGACACTGGTGATCTCCTAGTCTCTCCACAAAGCACCATATGGGATCTTTAGCCTTACAACTGAAGTACTTGTCAATAGAGCCTTGGTTTCCACTCCCATATCCACTAGGTATGGGCAGGGAGGATCTTAGTTTAAAATATCATCCAAAGGACTTATTCTACATAATACTGCACTGCGCTGCTAGTGAGCTCTGGCTAGGGCAGCACTTAAACTTGGGATGTGGTCCAGATGACAGGTTTACCAGCAAAGCCATAATCTAGGACTTTCCTGACTATAGCTTTTGGGGATTTGGGTTCCTAAGGGTATGTCCTTTTGGGAATAAAATTCTTTGCTTCTAACATGGCTCTCCCATGGGGATTGTTTTCTCTCTGGCTCTGCAGAACTGAGTTGCACATAGGGCATGCTAATGTTCAGTGATTACTGTTTGGGATGCTTTTCTACTAGGTCTGGCATAGTCTCTGTGCCCCACCTGGTATTTAGCTGAGTCAAGTATTTCCTCTGTTTCGTTAGGAAGATAGCATTACAAAAGCCAGTTTGTGTAGTCTGGCTATTCTATGTTTACTCACACATCCTAAACAAATCTCTGCTCTGTGTTGTCTGTAATACACTCTTCATTTGGGTGACTTTCACCATCTAGCCTGTCTCAATGTAGGATTCATGGTTTTTGTAGTTGTCTATTGTGGTACTGCTTCTTAAGTGTATATTTGTATCTCAACCTGGCTGCTGGTTCATGGTAACTACTAACGCTTGTTAGCTGGTCCATCTTGATAATAGGGGCTGCTGGACTCAGCACGAGCCGGGACTGAGCAGTCCTATAGACTAATTGTGTAGTCTATACAAATTCTGATTAGCTTGGTAACCACAATGTAATATTCCTAGTTGATGAACTTTTAAACAACATACCTTTAGAAAATAGCTAATGGAAATGTACTGGGCAAGATTATGCATCATAAGACTCTTCATTGCTCTAGAAATCCAGGAGTGATCACTTAGCTCTAAGGATAAGTAATGTATGCATTTACTGAACAAGCTGTGGTCTGAGAAGTAGTCTAGAACCTTGAAAACTTGGGTTCAGGTTTTGAGTCAGAAGCGAAAATGTGCGTTGGTCTCTTCAGAATCCCCTGTGGATGTTTGTTCACATCATCAAATCACTGCGAAGTGAAGAAATCCAAAACTTGAATAACTGGGGGAGGGGGTAGGTCAAGATTGCAACTTGCCAGTGGAGCTGAGCCAGAGACCCAGGACCAGAATAGCAGGTGCCGCAGGTCAGGACGGTGGTGCGTTATCAGGATAAGTGGAAGTCCAGGCCTAGAACACCGAGGAGCTCACGTGGCAAGGAATGTGGTGAACTGGCAAAACAAGGAGGAAGGATTGGAACTGTCCATGGTGCAGCACATCAAGAAGTGCATTGGCATTTTGTATTTGAAGGCCCAGGGTCTAGGTGACAGAGGTCAGGGTTCTACAGCACTGGCAGAGCTGTGTGGGGGAAGTATGCACTGTTCCAATTTTCATGAGCAAAATAGTTATGCAATTTAAAATAATTCAGGTCAAGGATTGGGCCTGCACCCAATTACACGTTGCAGGATTTCTGAGCAAAACTGTCCTTTGTGGGCCTATCTCACCTTGTCTGCTGAATAATGAGGAGTCTGTGGAGCTTCTCAAAGGTGTATCTTTCCTCTGGCCCACAGAAGGAAAGCCACACTCCCTCCTGATGAGCCCTGGTAAGGTTGAGATGAGAGAGAAAAGCAGAGTTCTGCATTTGCACTTCTGGAAACATGAGCCAGGATTCAGATGCCCAGATAGAAAGCTTTTAACGCTAACGTCCATCCTCGTACCACTGTGGCTCCATATTTCAAAGGGTAATGTGCAGTAGACCAAACAATCCAGAACTTGTATGCTTCCGCACTGCTTCCGACTGTTACTATAAGGTTGAGCAAATAACCAGAACAGTAAGGACCAATCCAGTAATATTTACATTTCACACACACTAAGAGTAGGAGAAAGACTTCTGTCCCTTCCCAACCTTACGTAGTTATGAAAGTCTCCTATGCTTTGTGTATATTCTTTGGCAGACCTTTAACATATCTGACTTTTCTTCTAGAACCGGAACCCCTTAGTGGCGGTATACTACACCAACCGAGCCTTGTGTTACCTGAAGATGCAGCAACACGACAAAGCCTTGGCAGATTGTAAACATGCCCTGGAACTAGACAGCCAGTCAGTGAAAGCCCATTTCTTTCTGGGGCAGTGCCAGATGGAGATGGAGAACTACGATGAAGCCATTGCTAACTTGCAGAGAGGTAAGCTGGGTCTTCCTACTGAATGGCCAGGCCTGGCGCAAGCCATCACCAATCTAAAGAGGTGACCAGGACCTCCCATACTAACAGGATAGCATGGCCTACCTGGGGCTGTCGCTAACATACAGAGAAGTCAGCGATACAGAGGAGGCCCCGTGACAAGGGCCATAGCTGCAGAGAAATGAAAGGGCCTCGCATACAAAACAGGCATCAGTGTATGGCATGGGTTGTCACCATTGGTTGGAATACAAAATGTGAATTTATCTTGAAAAGACTGGTGTTGAATTTTGTACAGTTGCCTGTTTCCAGTCGCTCTGTAATAATGGAGAACCTGTAGGAATGTAATTGCTACTCCCTGTATCTGGGCTCTGCTGATACTTGATTGTGGATGAAGCCTAAACAGGAGTCAGTTTCTTCTTGAACTGTGTAGAAATCAGTGATTTGACCGGTTTCTATAGGGGGATGATCCAATCGGGTCCAAGCCTTTGTGTGCGGCTCTTGGCCCAAGGATTTATCCCCCATTTTCTGCTTGTACTTGAGGGAGTGGTGTAGCATTGAGCTGCGTATTCTGGAGTGCGTCAGCCACTCAAAGGCACAGGCATCTGTCATTGTTCCCTCTTTCAACAAGGGAGCAAAACCAGACTGACCTAGCCAAAGCAAAAGAGAAGGCAGCCGTAATCCACTGGCCCAAATCCCACCCTGAATTAGCTGCACCTCTCAACTAGGCTTAGCAAAGCATCAGCTTCTTCCACCCTGCTGTCAGCTTTCAGAACACTTCTTGTCTCCCCAGCCTATAACCTAGCCAAGGAACAGCGACTGAATTTTGGGGATGATATTCCAAGTGCACTGCGGATTGCCAAGAAGAAACGCTGGAACAACATTGAAGAGAAACGGATCAACCAGGAAAATGAGTTGCACTCCTATCTAACCAAACTCATCATGGCTGAGAAGGAGAGGTAATTCAGATAGAAATCTCTGAGCTTTTCTACATTGGGCATTAGACCACACTAGTGGAGTGTGAATTCTAGTGCCCATTAGGGAGTCATGTACTAACAGGCCTGTGTGGACTCTGCTTTTACCCCCTAAAGCTCTTTAGTGCACCTTAGTCATAGAATCATAGAGAAGTGGAACTGGATGGGACTTCAAGAAGTCATCAAATCCAGCCCTCTGAGCTGAGGCAGGGCCAAGTCAACATAGACCATTCCTGATTGGTGTTTAGATAACCTGTTATTAAAAACCTCCAGGGATGGGGATTCCACAGTCGTCTTTGTAAGTCTACCTCAGAGCTTAACTACCCTTACTATTAGAAAGTTGCCCCCAATATCTAACCTAAATCTTCCTTGCTGCATATTAAGCTCATTACTACGTGTCCTACATGCAATGGATATGGAGAACAAGTGATTGCAGTTCTCTTTGTAACAGCCCTTAGCAGATTTGAAGACTATTATTAGGTCTTCTTTTCTCAAGACTAAACATGCCCCGTTTTTTCAACCTTTCCCACCAGGTCAGGTTTTCTAAACCTGCCAGTTTTATTGCTCTCCAATTTGTTCATTTCAAACCATACTAAATTAATGTGCAGTAGGGAAGTTGTGGTGTGTGCTACCATGGTCTACAGGGATCAGTTAATGCATGCCACACTAGTGTGCACTAGAACTTGCACCTCCCTGTGATGGATTAATTCACAGTGCAGACAAGCCCTCTGAATCTCACAGCCTGGAGGGATTGAGGGGAATCCTGAAGAGCACAGGGCCTGTGGAAGCAGGAGGAAGGGACTGTATTCCCAACAACACTGGCCTCAGGCAGGGAGGGGCAGAATCTCACAGGAAGACCCTCCTATATGCGAAGGGAGGAGGGGAAAAGATAAAGCTTTGTAAACATATCATGAAATTGGTGACAAGATGGGCCTTCCAACAGTGCTTGCCCTGGCTGTAGAAGGCACTGCCCTAAGGAAGCCCACACTATTGAGATAGTGGAGTGTCCCTGCTTATCTGGCTTTACGGGAAAGCCAGAATCCTTGTGCCAAGGCGGTGAAGAAAGGGAACTAAGAGTGTGTCATTCCAAGCTCAATATTCCTTCTCCTCCACTGTGGCGTTTTGGGCTCCTTTGCTAATCTTTTGCTCTGGGCTGTAGTCCTAGAAATGTAGGGCTGGAAAGGACCTCACGAGGTCATCAAGTCCTGCTCCCTGTGCTGGCGCAGGGCCAAGTGATCCTAGATTGTCCCTAACTGGTGTTTGTCCAACCTGTTCTTAAAAACCACAACTTCCCTAGGTAACCCGCTCCAGGGCTTAACTATCCATGTAGTTAGAAAGTTGTCCCCTGGTTCTCCCCTAGGGAGCTGGACGAATGCCAAAGGACACAACAAGAGGAGAACGTGGACGAGAGCCGGAGCCGTGCCCAGCTATCTAACATTGAAGCCAAACATGTGAGGCAACCTCGCGAATCCATCTCCTTCGTGTGTATTTGAGCCTGCTCACTAGTGTTGTGCATGTGTCTCTACGTGGTGTGAGCAGCGAGCCCAAGGGGAAGTTCTCTAGGGTGAATACAGCACATCTGCTTGTGGAGCGGATCGGCGGGATAGGAACAGAGTCCAGCTGATTTTCCTTCCCAGCACTGAAGGTGGCAGCCAGCCTGGGGAGCTGTGTTGCTTTGGGTTCATTGTGGTTCAGC